ATGACTGAGCAGACGTCGGATCTGTTGAAGCCTCCATACGTTTATAGCTAGTGTCACTATCCGAGGATGATTCGTCGTCGTATGTTGTTTCCAAGTCATATTCTTCCTGTGACTCTTCGTTCGAGCGCTCCGCTGTGATATTGGACGGCCGCCCTGAAGCCTCATCGTCTATGATCGGCCTCGGCCGTTGAATATCTTCAACGGTATGAGATATCAGCAATGAAGCATGTCCATCCTCCATGAAACTTCGCACGTGTGATAACCGTGGTCGAACGAAAGGCGCCTCTTCCCTGTCCACAATTTCGTTAGAAAATAATTGAGCCTCATTTCATTTGCACTCACAGTATATATGACTTATCATAACAGATGAACGCCAGTGAGCGTATCAACAGAGACTAGAACGGTATCGTGTACTGCGCAGCATTATCCTTCAGAACATCGGAGAGAGCCCTGAGCGTGCCAACCGTTGAAAGCAGCAAATCCAAAATATCGAGTATTTCCGAAGTTGACTCTGTGAGTTGTTCTGGTGAATCTGAAAGGTAATTTCTGAGTTCTTCAAGCAGAGGATAGGCCCGGGAAGAGACGACTGGGCAAGGACCGTTGACGAGTTGCGAGGGAATTGGAGTGTCAAGTAAGCCCGTTAAGTGATCTATCCCAGCGGGCCATTCCGCAGCGCACGAGACTGAAGTGTTAAGATGCGACATAGAAATGTTTCCTTTATGGTTTCTCGCTATGTAGGGCCGTCGAGAAGAAGACGGTCGTCGCAGTGGCAATGGAGCAAGTTCAAACTGTGGATCGCCGTGCGGGCCGGTAACCGAACAACCTCACGTGATCGCACATCCCGTGAGAAATGAGAATAGAAACGTTTTGCCTCTGTTGTCGCTTGGTTGTAGCTCCGAGTTGGTCGTGTTCGCGGATATTCAAAATATGTCATCGTATCGAGACCTTGATTATTTTAAGGGTTGATTTTGCGATCGTCATTCGCATTTTCCCTTCCTGTGTAATATCCCACCTAGATACATCTATATATCCGCTATTTCTTGAAATTCAACCATCTGGATGGACAAGCCTCTTGGTCGTGCGCTGTCGATTTGTCAGATCCCCCCTACCCCTATAGCGGGCGCGACTACTAGTTGCGCACGAGATTAAACCGATCTCACTGCTCTATCTCTCCGTCTGGAGCAACGATCGTTCGAAATGCGTTCAAGTCCAAGCGAAGAGGGCGGGAGATGCGGTCGTATAAACTCCCTTCCCACCACATCGCTATCTCTCAAAAGAGATATTATCAATACTAATACTCATTGACGCAGTACCACACACATTCACCAGACGGCAGACATGGGTAACAAAATACAGATGGTAGTAAGAGTTCAAGCAATACAGATTCGCTCTGCTGTCAGTTTCGTGTTCTGACTACAGCACAGTTTGTTTCCTCGGCTCTCCTTTTACCAAGGAGAGCCCCCATCTCGACCCATGGCAGCTTTTCATCCCACTTCCCTCTAACGCAAAAACTCGAAACGTGTCTTCCCCATGCATGCATCTACCAAGTTGCGTGCTGCAATCCGACCATTGAAATTCGGGGAACAGAACCGATGACGGCTATGTATATGTTCATCGGTTAGGTGGTCGCAGGGGCCGCATTACTGAAGTAATACAATTCCAGTCCAACGGGAGGTTGGACCGATCATGCAATACTAAGAAATTTGTAACCAATTCATCAATATACAGAGTTCGGAGGGCGTGGAATACCACGAGGCTCATTTACCCTCTACGTTTGCGCTTCCACGCCCAGGAGAGCTGCAATCATACTCCCAAATGAACTTCTTCCCGACCGTCATCAAAGCAGGATTATCTATCAGGCAAGGATAAAAGCATGACTGGTAATTGTATGATTTTAAAAGGGTGCAGGACTTTCGTGGTCCAACGTGATTCGGAGGAAATCATTAGATACGCGAACGGGATGCAGCGCCCAGTGTCCACTTTCTTAAATATTGAAGGGAATGGACACGACATACAGCTACTATAGCGTTAGCGATAACAAATTCAGATAGTCTGAACTTATTCCGAGCACAGTCCAATGCAGTACAGAGGATAGTGCACGTTGACCAGTATGCGGTTCAGTCCCGAACGGGTTATCGTGGGTGCTGACGCGTATGATCTGGACCTGCTCTTGAGTACAGAGAGGATGTCCCTCATATTTATATGACAACATATAGAATATTACATTATATCACTCATTATGTGTCACTAATATCATTTCTTCGGCAGTCGACGACAAAAATGGGAGACCTCTACGTCGCATCATTCCTTCGCTGTGACAGTTGGCTTCCGTCCCCGACACGGTTGCACCACGACGAATTGTAAGTCTGCGTGGTAAATTTCTCAAGATACCGATGGTACATCTTCACGGTGTGAAGCAGGCTCATGATCACGGTGCTGTATCATCCCATAGCTACTTACAAGGTATCTCAGTTTGTATTACATCGTCGATATATGTGCGCGTGCCCAAAGTGTACACACTTCCACCTTTGCTCTTGTCTTACCTGGAGCCGCCACTTCCCTTCGCTGGTGGAATATGCGAGGGACTACAACATGGAGTTTGAGCCTAAACGAGCTTTGGATGTGACGAACGACGACAAAACATTCTAATATGCAAGTCGATTCAGAACGAATACAAGTCGGCATTGTAAACCGATGGGTCCAAGCGCAAACGAAGCATAAACTGAATCAATCAGACAAAGGCCGATAACGAGGCTCCACGCTGATCTAAACATGAACACTGTCACTCGCCCTGCTTCCCATGATCCTCAGAAGAGCAACGGCGTCTGCTGTTATTGAAGAACCAGAGGATTCGCCCATTTGTGAAACGCATTGAAGAAAACAACTGCGATGTAGGATGGTAGACATTTGACGAGCCTCCGCGATCGCCAGTGACAACAATCGGGCTTGGCCGCATTTCTGAAGTTGCATACACGAGGTGCACCGCAGCGTCTTGCTGGATGCTACTGGCAGATCAAACCAAGACACCACATATGTGCCATACCGCATCTGCACAAACGTCAGTTAGCATCAAGAATTCACACTGAAGATGAAAGGAGAGTCAGTATAACTAGGATTATGAAAGAGGAACATCGCAGGCGATAGCCCAACTCTCCATTTTCGGTCGATACGTATCATCCTAGTAGCATAATAGGAGATTTACATACCTGCGAAAGAGGTACGTCGATCTGTAACTGTGCTCTCAAATTTAGGTGCCTGCATTTCAGGTCCTTAAGTAAGCAGACGATAGATATCGAATACATAGAGCATACCAAGTAAACCCAGTCCATGCAGTAGTCCTGATTGTGCATACGTTGTACGTGATTTTGATCAAGTAAAAGGGGACCGTATGACCCAAGCCCAGGATTAGCATCGGACAAAGCAGACACTGCTCATATATGTACTACTAGCGAGTTGGCCGCTACGCTACACTCCACCAGACGGAGCCCGCTTAAACCACGAAACATCAGCCTATTTCCAGAAAGAAAAAAAAGACGCTAGGCAGACATACCAATGCTTCTCAAGTTTCACGTTACACAGTGAGGAATGATTATGTCGTCCATTGCACATGTATCATAGGATGACTGGGAATACCAGATTCAATGTGAAGGGATACATATGTCGTGGAGTGAGAGCAAGACACATTTCAAACTCCGAATCCGACAAGTCAATGTCCGATGCACACAGTAGCGAACCCGATACCAATACTCTGTTGACTCTTTCCCAGACCTTCCAGAATTCTATCCTTGAAAAACTATAGTTCAAGTCTCTGTAAATCCTTTGCCTCTGGAAACATAGATCGCAATCTCGACAGGCCCTCTACGGTCAATAAAGATATCCGCCCAGATGCCGTCTTAGATGCAATGCTCACTCACGCCAGACGATAGCGAACACACACCACGCCGCTTGACTACTGGCCAGGATAACGACTTTGAGCAGCTGATAGAACTGGCAAATACTTGGGTCTGGTACCTCTTCTGGCCTTGTCGGTGGCAACTCATCTTTATAATTTTTAATATTGACAGCCATTTATTGTATTCAAGGCGAATAAAGGCGATCTTGGAGATCACTACACTGACTCTCAGGGAGACTGAATCCCTCGATTTTGAGGGTAGTCGTTCACAAATACAGTCCGTGTTCAATATTGGTATTGAATACATTGTACTCATATACTGTTATACATCCCCTCAGGTAAAGGAACGTGATGATTTTCATTGTATCATAACATGGGCAATGGATGCACTGAGAAAACATGCATGGCCACTTACAACGGTCATTGAAGCAGCTCATATCTTCAAGAGGGCCGTGGCGGCCGGGAAGCGTGACAATGCGAGTTATGCTCTATGTGCTTGATACCGACACGTGAGAACATCCCCTGCGAGAGAGATGAGTACACGTCGACAACAATGTGAAGGTACTGCACCTGCTTCGTTGGCACTCTTTCATATGCCTTCCCTGGCATGACGTGCATTCACGACATTGAGGTACGCGTCTACAGACCGTCTGTATTAGCGTTCTATGAAATACCGACAGGTCAGTCACGCAAAGTCCGTTCCCTGTGAGAAAGATGAGTACACATCGACGAGGACTGTAAAGGCGACGTACCTCTACACCTCCTTCGTAATTGCCCTTTCATGCTCCTTCTCCTCCTGCTCCAACTTTGCTGCCTAAGGCCTCTGTTCTCGATAGTCTGTTGCGTGATGATGTCACCCGTGCCAAAGATAATGGCCACATTGGGCGAGTATCGGCCGGGGAATGAGGAGAGCACTGTCATTGACGTAGTGGGCAGTTGTAAGAGGGACGGAAAACGATCGACTTGTACACATGGAACAGAGATGCCATGAGAGAGAGAAGCAAGCGGGGCCCCACAGTTGGTCCATGCGCATAGGGCCAGTATTCCTCCGATGCCGGCCCTGAATGTTTTAGCGAAACAAGGATAGGTCTCCCGGACTCAACTTCAATCGGATATGGTGTAACGGCTAACATTGCCGCCTCTCAACACCCACAGTTAGGGCGCGGCAGCTCGGGGTTCGATTCCCCGTATCCGAACTCGGGGTCGAATATCATACATTTTTAATTTTATTCCTTTTTAACCTGTTACCTGAAGGTAGCCCATGTTGAAGTTGGGAACTCATGCTATCTGATTGGGACTTGGGACCCACAATGACACCACTCACAGATCCATACCTATTGATATTGTGTATACACTCCTGCATCATCCCAGTCCAACCCACAGTGCTATTTCATCTTTCTTGCATGGATGAATTTGAGTGACTCAGCTACACCCAATACTAAGACTGCTGTCATACAAGTTATGCACTGACAGTACCAATTATGAGGTCACTCATTATTAAACTCAAAGTTTTCCCTCTCCTATCCTCTCTATATCTCTTCCCTGCCATCCTTGCCAGCACTGGTGAACAGACATGCCATGCAATGGCTGGCATTGCCACCTCTCATGGTGGGTGTGAAGAAAGAGGGCTGCACTTCATCCTGACCCACTGCAGATTTTTTCATTATGTATGACACTTTCAATATACCCTCTCTATCCCCAACTATGGCAAAGACAAACCACTGGAGAATGATGCAAACTACAGATTTGCTCTCCCTCCTCCTCCTCTGATTAGCATATATCCTGAATCATAATGCATAAGATCCAGAAAGAAAGACAGATCCTTGTCTAATGATTTGTTCAAGATACCTGTCTTTGGAGCTTGGCTCAGAGATGACATCTGCCCAACAAACAAGGTGGAAGAAGAGGAGTTCAATTGGAGAAGTATGCCATCTTGTTCACTCTCTCTCACACACCTTCTCTTACAGCCCATTGGTTTTTCATTCATCTCTCTACCTTGAGCATGACAATCCCTCAAGCAATATACAATCTAAGAGTGATGTGAGTCTGTACAAGTTCCAGGATAGTCAATGTAAGAAAATGTCACCAGCTATTCCATCTTCTTGGTCAGGAATTAAGAAATCTGATAAAAGTTCACTCACTTATAAATTCTGGTTGGCTGTTAACATCTTTCTTTCATGTTGAATTTTCTAGAGTGATGCATCTGATGAGTTGAACTATAGGTGAGGTGATTGCAGTCTATATTTTCTGCTTAGGTCACATTGCAAGATACAATGGATTTTAATAGGGTATTATTTCTGACCTATGGGATATCACTCATATGAAGAGTGTAGATGGCATGGTTCTCTCACTGCAATCACCTTGAGCAATATCCTGAAGTTGCTGAAATTTGTGTACATATTGAGCTTAAAAGTGATGTATTGCTAGGATTGTCATCCAGAACTGGATGCTGGATACAGGATCAACATTGTTCTGTGTGATCTTGCATGTAATAGGTCTGAAGAAATCAACCTGCATGTCTGGTTGGGAGCCATTGTTGTGGCTTATCTCTTCTGTGATGGATGTGAAAGATCCCAAGTGCCCATTATCTTGGAGGAGAGTTCAGACTGGCTGAGTTCCACCATGCTTGCTGTCAGGCAATAATAGTTCCATTGTCATAACAGCTAGGAATGATAGGCATTAGATATCTACAGGAAACTGAGATTTATTTAACATACAAGTGATGCCCATGCTAACCACACCAAGGCTAATTGACTGGTACTTTTGCAGGCACATATGGCTGAGGCAATATAGCAGATGTTGGATGCACAATTGAGACAGAATAGCAATGACATTTCCACCCAAGGCAGAGTATCAGTCTCAATTTTTGAAGAACTGTCAGTGGTTGTATAGTTAGTGTCCTTGGTCAAGGGAATTTTGATTGACTGATTCTCTCCTTTATTCCAGAAGCTTGCTTATATTGGGACATTAATGTCTAAAGTATAATGGAAGTAGTAGATTTCAACTCTCCCCCCCCCTTTCTAATAGAATAGTGCCAAAGTCATGGATGAATGTCACTCCCCACACCTATGTTTTGTCATTGCTGCAAAAAAGTATGAAGATTCCAAAAATGACTATATTCAATCAAGTTAGTGACATCAAAGAATTTATTGCTGAAAGATCAGTTTTTATAATGTACTTCAAACATTCTATGTGGCACTGATGCATTGTGAGGGATGAGTCTGTTGGGGAAGCTACTAATACTGTCTTATAGGTTTGTTAAGTTTTACTGTGAGCTTTAGACTTGAGTCAATCTCCACTTAGGTTGATGACAGTTGATCAACTAGAATGATGAGACAAGAGTAGTCCAAGGGCTCACATAGTTAAATACAGGTTTTCTATGGTTATTTTGAACCTTGAAACTTTGGGTCATAACTTTGAATATAAGCATATAGAATTGTGATAATGCTTGTATTTTTTTGATAGCTTTAATATAGTATCTGGAATAAATGGATTAGTGTATCTTCTTCTACTGATTGACCTTTTCAGGATGCACCACATCACCATGGCATTCTGCTACTATCAATCAACCAGAAATGTCAATCCAAATGTTCAAGGTGACTTGTTTTCTCAATGTTGAGAATTTACTTCAGAAATTTAATAGAATGATAGTTTGAATATCATGCCTGCATTGTGCCAAGCTTCATATTTTTCAAAAGAATGTGAGCTGGTACAGAATAGTACCAATGTGCAAGTGGTTAATTTTGGCAGGGAAGTATCAAGTCTGATCAGCACACCTTTGCAAAATTCCTGTTTTCTTTTTCTGGGGTGGGGAGGAGTGAGATGCACAAGATAAGTGGATAGAATTTTGAAGGATACTAATAGGTATCCTGGAAAAAATATGAAGCAAGACTGGAAAGAATTGCAATCACTAAAAATAAAAAGATGCTGAAATTAACACTTCTGGTTGATGTTATGATTTTTCCATTCATCTTATCAATTTCATGTCAGAATGCTTATGCATTTCATCTATATCCAACTGTTCACACCCTCTCAATCTTATCAATCCACAAGGACTCTATCTATTTCTAAAAGTCTCATCATTACTGGACTACAGTCATCTGACTTCCTCCCATCTCACACATGGATCTGATCATTTCAGTTATTAATAAACTCATACTTTCAGTATATAAGTAGAGTGATTTTGTACATACTCTCTATCTTTTGACTAAACTTAATTCATACACCTCTTACTGCACACATCTAAAGACTGAACCATCCTCTACCATGAGTGATTGTCTGAATGCAAGACAGCTTAGAGTGATGTAAAAGTCCCAAGATCATGTGCTAGGACTGGGTCCTAACATTAGTCAAAAGATTCATCTACTGCTCCTTCTACACAAGCTGTAAAAGAAGCATTGACACATGCCTGAAGAAAACAAAGAAAACCAAAAAACTATTACACTCAGTGTCACAATCAGTGGTGCTGCACTCCTCATCCTTTTCACTGCCCTTCTTGTACTAACATATGAGAAGGAAGTCCACACCCTTCTCCAACAAGAGTGGTGACCCTGCCACTCACCACAACTTCCTCTCTGCCCTCTCCAACACTCTAACAATATCCTTCCCAGGAGACTTTCCTCTGTCTGACTGGTCAGATGAGAAGAGATACCACTCTCTTGCCCCTGAGTCTGGTTCTTGGCCACCTCCTCCTTTGAGAAGACCACCAACAATAGGAGGCCCCTGATTCCAGGCCTCTCCAATGAAAGGGTGGAATGATCTGCCCTCACCCTCACACAAGAATATGTGAGGAATGTATGGACTGTGAATGAGGACCCCTCACCCCCATACTCCCCTCCTTAATGTCCCTGTTCTCCTACCCCTACCTGACCCTACTTCAGGGCCCTACACCCTGATGATCCCAGACTGGATCAAAACCATTTATATAGACCCTGGGCCTGGGAACAAGGTTCCTGGCCTGAAGGAGGAACCAACTCCTCTTTCTCTCTCTCCATTATCAAGCTCTCCAGTGACTCTGATAGAAGCTCTGATGGCACAACCACAGCCACTACCTTCTCTCCTGACAGTCTCTTCAATCCAGATGAGACTGACCAAAATTGGCCTGAACTTGCTAATATTGACTGGGAAATACTCAGCCCTCTCATATCTGCCACCTGGGAGATATGAAGAGCAGATGTCAAGGCCAGAATGGCCTGGCCAGAACTTCATCCTGACATAGATAAGTGGCTGGTGACCAATTGAGGGGACCCTATACAGGAATCCAATCTCAGAGCCACAATTTGGGCCCAGATTCATGCCAACAGGAACTGGGAACTTTATCACCCTGCTGTCAGTGACCTGGTACCAGGATTATGCCCAAGGACAGCAGAGGAGCAATGGAAGCTGAATCACTCCCTTCAACAATTATAGTGACTGGAGCTTGCCAGGAGAGAGAAGAACAGGCTGGATGTCCAACTTTGATAGGTTTACATATAACTACAGACATTATGGTGGACTGGGATACTCCCAGCCCCAATACATGAACTTCCCCGACTACTCTCCAAACACCTTAGTCACAAGACCATGATCCTTGCCCAATTCACCACTTTGCAATCAGATACATCAACAAGGTTACCACCCCTATCAGGGTGGAAGTCTTCTATTCACAGGAGCAGAAGAAGACATGGAACCTGAGACAACCCCTGCAGAATCATCCATCCCAAAAATGGCAGAAGAAATTCAGCAACAAACCAGGAATGTGTTAGCCAAAAAGGAGAAGTGTATTTAAGAAATGTGTGAGAAACTCATGAAAGAAGAATCTATCAAAAAGATGATGATGGACTATCTTCGCAATAGCAAGAAGGGGAAGGAGCTGGAAAGAGGAAGACCAACTAAACTGCTGAGAGGCTATCCCAGTCTGCAGCTGGATCATTACTTGATCCTAAGACTGCCTCCTAGAAAAGGTCCTCCCAACCCTATCCCTAATCCCATCAGGAACATGTCTGGCAATGCCCCTTATCTGGGGATAAAGCCCATTCTTGTCCAGCCCCTCAAGCCATTTAAGGGGGACCATGATAATATTGAGTGCTTCATTGGCAATTGTATCACATACTTTGAAGTGTTCCAACACTATTTCCAGGTGCTATCACACCTGGTACTATTCATGACCTTGCACTTTGAAGGGGCCACCAAGGATTGGTGGGTCTATAAGAGACCT